GACATATACAAGTAATCTGCCTGATTATTTAGTTCAGAATGTTTTGGGAAACTAAAATGAACTTGACTAGATTGTTCTTACTCTATTTCCTTTTTCCCTCCCTCTGCTCAACTTCAAGAGAGACTGAAATGAGAATAATCACCCACCCACCATAAAACAAACAAACAAACAAAAACCAACACTATTCAGCAGCATCCTACAAGACACAGAATCAGAAATAGACATGGAGGACAACATTTGGGCAGAAAGGAAGTCTGAAGTACCTGTATGCCTGTAACTAGAAATAAAAAGTGATTTAATATTACCAGAAATCTTCTGCTTCTTCTTGGGAGCATCTTTAAGATCTTCACCTTCCCCGTGCTCAGATTTCCTCTTGCCTTTCAAAAGCACTTCTGCTAACAAACAAGAAAAGAAATGCTTCAGTCTTATTAAACTCAGCCTGCAGAACAGCAGCTGTTTGCTACCTCAGTTTCTCCTCATACTTGTAAAGACAAAAGTGGTTTTTGTGAGGGCCCTGGACACCAGTGAGGTAATTACACAGCTTTATGACCCACTCACATTAGGAACTCCATGGTCTGCAATCCTCCAGTACAGAAGACATGGAAAGAGCAGTGCAATAGCATGGCTTGGGGAAGCTGTACTGCTTAGAAAAGAGCTAGAAGTTGCTAGGTTATGCCATAAAAAGCTCATCTGCACACACAAAAAGGAGCACAGAGAGACAATGAAAGGTGGGAAAACGTGGATAATGCTCTACCTGTCCTCACTGTTTGCAGGCTCATCAAAGACCCAGAAAGCTGCCAGCATTTACACTTCCTTATGTACTCAGAATAGTGTCTTATGAACCTCCATGAGTGCAGTGAAGTAGGCAAACTAGGCATTCAATGAAACAGATACCTTCTTCCTGTGATACCCATCAACCTCACCTTTTAGGTACAAGATTCAAGGTGAATCAATGGGAATTGCTCCCTGGAGCATGCTTTGGAATGGGAAGTGTGTTGAATTGGTGGTGTCTTGTTAATGCCTGGGGTTATGGGATACATGGAATGCAGGCAAAGGCCATTTAAGTATTACACAAGACATTAAAGGCAAGGAAAGGGAGGGAATGAGGTGGTTTGGGGAAGAACACGTGGGAAAACAGAGGGCAAGACCACTTGCTTGTAAACAAGCAGTTGGTCAGCACACAAGTTTGCTCATATCTATGAATGAACGCGTGTAGTATCTGCGTGCAGGACTCTATATTTTGTGGACCCATGTCCATAGGTGACTGCAGGGAGGCTTAAGTGCCAGCCACTTCAGCAATACAGGTCATAGTGGCCAGTGTGTCTGTGGTGCCACCACCTGGAACGAGTCTGTGAGTGTGAATGCATGCAACTGCCAACTGGACTACTGGGTGAGAAGGGGAAGAAGTCTGGGAGCCAGGTGTACGTATGTGTGTGTGGTAAGGCAGAAGAACAAGTGGAAACTGGCAACCAGAGCGAGATGGGGAGTTCCAGCCAACTCCCCTGAGAATATGCAAGTCTGAGCACATCTGAAAGGAGGTGCAGAGCAGCACCTGCAGTGGTTCTGCAGGCACAAGGCACTGGTATGTCCTTGTACCAGCAATAGGGAAGACCAGGATCCAGAAGCCAGTGCCTAATTCAGCTACAGGAGGGATTTACACTGCACACATGTGTGCAGACACAGATACATATGTCTGATATATGTGTATATACACCTTTTTATTTCTCACTAACATATCTCCATGCTGATCAGCCAGAGAGGGAAATGGGATGGATGCCATCAGTGCTGCCTGTGTGAGTGCTGGGCACATCCATTGCAGTTGATGTGTATGGCTGGCTGTGTATACATGTATTGAATACACATGCTTGTACTGATGGGAAATATGCTCAGTCTTGCTACTGGTTGGACTTATGGACATGAAGCTGTAGCAACTGCACCTTTATCAAGTTCACATTTGGTCCTCCCTGCAACAGGAAGGTTGCAATTCCAATTTAGTGAGAGGAGGAAAAAGCATTAAAGAAAGAAGAGCCACACAAAAAGTTTGAAAAATGATTCTGAAGCCAGGAGTCCTGAATGCCCCTAAAACAACATAAGACCCCATCCACCCCAAGTAAGGAAATCATAAATGACAGTAGAGAGAAAACAAGTTATAAAAACATTCAATCCCCCCCCACACCAAAAATCTAACAACCACAAAAGCCATGTCTAAACCAGAATGCTGCACACTGATTTGCTTCTGTACCTTTTGAGCATTGCTTGGTTCTATTATTCAAGTTATTACTGTGTAATGCTGAAATGATTGGCAGATGCCCTACGCGCTCCTCTTCTTCAGATAAAACTGATACCACTCATAGAATCACTAATATTAACAGAAGATGACTTAAAAGGAACTGCACAACACCAGAAAATTTACACCTACACTTCTGCAGTGGAGGAAGTTTAAGCATCCTCACATACCAGCATCACTATCAAGCTTGTAACCTGCGGCTGAACTGCACCACGTCTTTCAGAAATCACCCAGTCCCTCCATCTCTCATGAGAGAACAGAAAAGGAAAAACAGTTTTGCATTGAGCCAAGTGTGATGAATACCTTTCTCATCTGAAGATTTGTTCACATTGTTTTTTATGCCCCTCATTTCCAGCCAGTAAGCCGGCCGACGAATGGTCCGCTTGCTTCTGGACTCTGCTCTTCCATTCACTGCACTCTTCTGTGAGCCAGAAGAGATGTTGCTGGCTGTCTCATTATAATTACTGTTCAATCCAAGGGGAGTAGTTTCCATCTCCTCAAATTGTTTAGTCCTGGAAAACATCAATTTGAAATCTCACTATGAGTTCTATGAACTGGAAGATGCTAGCAATATATTATTAGTATTCAATATATCTGTAAGAGTTTGACATTAGTAAGCTACCTGAGAGCATCAGTAAAAAGATATTTATCCTACCTCAGCATTTCAATAAAAGGAGCAATCACAAGTTCATCACAGTGCAAAAATAAACACTTCTCTATAAGCCATCAGGGGCCAGTGTGGATCTCACCTGAGATTCCATCAAACAAACAAAAATCACTGCAGCTCTTAACATTTAGACTACTACATAAAAGTCAGCTGCAGTTTTTCAACAGGAATCTCCATTTTTTTTTGGCCCTCAGTCAAAGTCTACACAAAATATTACATACTTTTTGTTTTCCAGAGACTTTGGCCTCTTGCCCTTCTGTCCATGATGCGCAGCGCTGGTAGCCTAACAAAGCAGAACAGTTCACATCAGCAGTATAATTTCTCTTCTTCTTTCCAGTCAAGCACAATCACCTGCACTTTGAGGATGAGCATACCATTCTTTGAATAGGAAAAAAACATCTTTTGCAACAGGCAAGCTGTTCTGTAACAAGGAACCCTTTCACTTCCAGCTAAAGTAGAACTCCAATCAGAATAGCCACAAGCCCCTCTCCCCTTCCCATACGAAATGCAATCATCCTCCTTGCACTGGGGCATAATGCAGCTTGTCTTTAATTCAGTGGTACCTGCTTTCTGCCCATACCTTACCACACGGCGACAATTAAGACTGTAATCTACTGGCTTTTCTATGGTGCCTTTTCCCATAATAATTATTGCATTTTCCAAGCCAAGAATGCTGTCTCTATACTCTTTTGAGTTCTTTTTTCATTCTTCATCTCAATTATTTTGTCACTCTCCACAAGTTGCTCAACTATTTCCTTTAACTTTTTGTTGTTTTGTCATTTATCACTTGCTACTTCTTATGTTCCTACTAAGACATGCAATCTAACAGACACCACTGACGTTTGCAAGTCAGTATAAACAACTAATTTGCTGTACTTTGTTCCTGGTATGTAGACAACTGTATCACAGAACCATGGAATGGCCTGGGTTGAAAAGGGCCACAATGCTCATCCAGTTCCAACCCCCTACTGTGTGCAGGTCACCAACCAGCAGCCCAGGCTGCCCAGAGCCACATCCAGCCTGGCCTTGAATGCCTGCAGGGATGGGGCATCCACAGCCTCCTTGGGCAACCTGTTCCAGTGCCTCACCACCCTCTGGGGGAAAAACTTCACCCTAAGAACTTCAAACTTCACCATGTATAGGAGCAGACAATAGTTTACTCTTCCCTCTTCTTCTCTAGTTGAGGATTTGTGTTTGCATTACTTTGATAAGAGTTTACATGCTGCTAGTAACATATACAAGAGTATATGGGAAACTTTATGTCAGAAAGGTGGAGGAACCTCAGTGTGATCAGCAGCTGGAAAAAAAATCAGGCCATCTAAGTATGATGTTATAATGATAAAATGAATGAGCACAGTCTGCTGTAATCATCTGTCCTGATCCATCATGAGAAGAACGTCCATGACTGACAAACACAGCACGTTTGGCTATTTTTAGCACTACTAAGCTTTGTAAAATAATCCAAAATCAGTATGAAGAATTTAAGTCATCGTAAATGATCTGAAGCAACAAGAGAAAGAGATGTGTTGATGAACTGGTTCCACAGATACTGAGAAGGAGTCAGTAGAAACAGCAACTGCCCTATGCTGCCTGTCCCCATTCCCACGGGGAAGGCCTTGGGGCAGGCCCAGCACCCTTCTGGACTCATAGAATCACTAAAGTCGGAACAGACCTCTGCGGTAATCAAGTCCAAGCATCAGTTTGCCCCCACCCAGCGCACGTCCCTCAGTGCCACACTTCCACAGCTTTGGAACACCTCCAGGTTCGGTGATCCCGCCACTCCCTGTTCAGCTGTGCCAACACCTGGCCATTCTTTCAGAAAGGAAACATTTCCTAACACCCAACCAGAACCTCTCTCGGCACAGCTTAAGGCCATCACCTCACGTCCTATCGCCGTTAGCCGGCTGACTCTCGAGGCGAGAAAGAGACCCGAAATACCGAGATCCGTTCCCCCTCCCGACCCCCCCCGCCCCCCGCTCCTCCCACACCACAGCGGGGCCGCACAACTCGGATCGCCTCCGCCAGGCACTCACCGCACTGCCCGGCATGGCGACGCCACCGCAGAGTCCCACGCACGGCCCTCCGCTCCCTTCCGGTCACCTCCAACCGTCTCCTGCCAGCAGCTGCCAGCTCCCAGGCCGCGGGGGCGCCGCCGAGCTCTCCACGCGGTCCGGGCCGGTGGCGAAACGACCCTCGAGAGCGCGCGGCTCCAGGCCGGAAGTTGCAGGCCACATCCCGGAAGCTGCTAGCCAATCATAGAAAGCTTCCGGCCGATCGCCGGAAGCTGCGAATCTCGCCCCGGAAACGCAAAGGTGGTGCCGGGAAAGATGGCGGCCGCGGGAGAGTCGGCGGCGGCGCCGGTGTGCGTTTTGGTGCTGGGTATGGCTGGCTCCGGGAAAACCACCTTCGTGCAGGTAAGGGGTGGTGGCGGGCGCTTCCGCATTCCACCGCGCCGGTCGAGGTCTGACGCCATCTTGTGTCCCCGCAGTGCCTCGCGGCCCACCTGCACGGCCAGCGCTGCCCACCTTACGTGATCAACCTGGACCCTGCCGTGCACGAGCTGCCTTTCCCCGCCAACATCGGTGAGAGGGGCGGCAGAGCGACGGGGAGGAAACCGGGAGGGGTGGGGGATCACGTTTGTAGGGTCTGCAGGAACGGAGTGGTTCCCTTCTGCTGTGAACGAGGTAAAGCGGTTCTGATGTGCTGCTTTGCTTATGCTCTGCGAAGAGGAGGAGGTATTTCACAGCATGCACTCGGTTAGGCTGCTTGCTCTCCCTTTAAAAAGTGCCAAGGCCTAACGTGAGGAGGACTTTAAGTTGTTGTGGGTGCTGGATTGTTTTCAGTTGGAAGGAACCTCCGAGGACCATCAAGTCCAACAACCCGAAAAATCAAAGCATGTGTCTGAGAGCAGTGTCCAGGTGCTCCTTGAGCTCTGGCAGCTCACTGCCCACTGCCTTGGGGAGCCTGTTCCACACCCCCTGATGCAGAACCTGATATCCTGCCTGACCCTCCCCTCATGCAGCTTTGTGCCGTTCCCTCGGGTCCTGTCATTGTCACCAGAGAGCAGAGCTCAGTGCTGCCCCTCTGCCCCCTGTGAGGACCTGTAGGCCACCATGAGGCTTCCTCTGCTCTGGGCTGAACACTGAGGGAACTCAGCAGCATCTCATGTATCTTCTTCTATAGACCCTTGACCATTTCGTAGCCTTCCTCTGGAAACTGTCTTCCGTTTATATCCTTATATTGTGGTACCCAAACTTGCACACGGTGCTTGAGGTGAATCCACACCAGGTAGAGCTGTGTGAGACAGTCCCTTCCCTTGCCTGGATGACAGTGCTGGGCCTGATGCACCCTGGGGTAAGGTTGGCTTTCTGGGCTGCCTGAGCACACTCTTGGCTCATGCTCAACTTGCTGTAGGCCACATTCCCCAAATTACTTTCAGCAGGGTTGCTCCTCAGCATCTTATCCCCCAGGCTGTATATGTAGCCACAGGTACCCCTTCCTGGTTGCAGAATCTGGCACCTGCTCTTATTAAATTTCACGCAACTGGTGATTGCTCAGCTCTGTGATTTGCCCAGATCTCTGCAAGGTGTCTCTGCTCTTGACAGAGCCAGCAGCTCCTCACAATTTAGTATCATCAGGAAACATGCTGAAAGCACCTCTTAGTCCTAAATCCAAGTAATTTCTGGAGATGTTAATGACAACTGTCTCAATAATGGAGTTGGAGTGTGATTGAATGCATGTGGCTTTCTTTCTTTTCTTCTCCCCATCATTGACAGTGAACATTTTAGCAGATTTGATTGGGTTTCGTATCCTCAGAGCTGTGCGGTGGCTGTATGCTAAGAAATAACTTCTTAAAGCAATGTAAAAGACATTAATTTTTAGATAAAATACCTTAAAAGCAAAAGGCTTTATGCCCAGCCGTTCCCAAACATCTGCTGTTCCCCAAGACTTGCCAGCACTTAGCTTTGTTGAGGATTCTGTCTCTTAAACTTTCTGAGCTAGCCCAACTCTTAGAAAATAAAAAAGGTGTTTTGGATACCAGAGCATTCTTACTGATGTCAGCTGAAGAGTTAGAGAGTGCCTCCCAGTCCTGGGTCTCATAATGTGGTAAGTATTTGAAAGATGTGCGCTTTATTAACTGATATCGATGAAATAAGAACAAAATTCAGCTTCAGCAGTTATGGCTCTGCAATCTGGTGAAGCTTCACGTGAGTCACGCTGGTTTCATGTATCTCCTGAGAGCACAGCAGGTCTGTTTTGCTTTTTTGTATGAGATTTTTCCTGCTGGTGCTAGATTTGTTACTGAGGCAAAAAGAGACTTGATAGAAAAGGAAAGATTTTTGATGATAAGCAAATTAATAAAGAAGACTGTTTTAAAGTAAATGTACTGAAACAATTTATGCTTGCTCCCATTCTAGATATCCGGGACACTGTGAAGTACAAAGAAGTCATGAAGCAGTATCTTTTCTTTTGGTCTTGCAATGATCTTTGAAATCTCAGGTTTTGAAAAAGCTGTCAGTTTTACATGGGAGGATGAAGGGGGATTGGGATTGCAATAATGCAGATTGTTGCATGAGGACCAAAAGTTTTTGAGTGCGTATTTCTCGCATCTGAGATTAGAAATGTGTGTGAGCAAGATTTTTATGCTCCTTGGGTCATTGTCTTCTCATGTGCTGCAGGTGTTTCTGCTTAGTAGTATGTTTTTACAAGTAGTGTGAATCATAGAACAGTTTGTATTGGAAGGGACCTTTAAGCTCAGGAAGTTCCAGCCCCCTGCTGTAGGCAGGGACACCTCCTCCAGCCCAGGTTGCTCGCAGCCCCATCCAGCCTGGCCTGGAATGCTTTCAGAGAAGGGGCATCCACAGCCTCTCAGGGCAACCTGTTCAGTATCTCACTGTCCACATCTCTTTTGTGTGTTTTTTGTTCACCCAGTTTGTATTTGTAATAGAGGAGGCCAGCAGCTTTTCCCCTGTGTATTTACAAATCTAATTTTGTTCTTAAAATCATGCAAATTAGTATTTGGCTGTAGGAGGTGAAGAAAAAACTATTTCTGCATAGTTTGATCATAATAAAAGCTTTTTTGTCTCTCTGGGTCTATAAGACATTCAGTTGTGTCTTAAGCTGCACAGTAGCTTGGGGATTGTGATTCAGTAATATTATACCAAAGTGACTGCAATCCCAGAGAGGTGTGGAGGTCTTTTATGCCTTAAGTTGTAGGCTTTGCAGATGGATGTAATACACAATGCTTGCATTTGGCATACTAGTGTGTCTTCTTAATGGAATGTTTTAAGAAAAAATAGAAATGATGGATGTTAGGATTGTGATTTTGGCTGTTTGATCAGGAGTTACTAGCAAAACATCTTAGCAGAAGTTTGAATTTGGTATGTGGACATGTTACTTGCTTTGCTGTTTGTTGACTGTCACTGGAGTTTAACATCTCATTAACTTCTTTACAGAAAGGGCTGTTAAGCACTGCAATAGGCTGCCCAGGGAGGTGGTTGAGTCACATCCCTGGATGTGTTTAAAATCCATTTGTTTGTGGTGCTCAGGGACGTGATGGAGCAGAGGGCTGTTGGAGTTGGGTAGTACGGCTGGGTTGGGGTTGGACTCGATGATCTTTAAGGTCTTATCCAACCTGAGATCAAGTACTGAGTTACTGACTGTGTAGTGGATCTTTTTTGGAAAGAGAAAGAACGTGTGCATGCATTTTTTTTCTGTCTGGAATAGTAATGCTTGGATAGTGGCAAGGGAAACCTCGGGGTAAACCCTCTTCACTTTGACAGTCACACTTGTTGGTGTAAGAAAAGGGCCATGCTATTTATCTACTGCAGCACTCAGAAGACTTAATTGTGTGTGTGGAGCTTTGTCTTTTTCTGTAAGGTATCCAGTGTGCATTGCAAAAGGCCAACAACTATCAGAATGTTAAAAAAAAGCTCTCTGAGGTCTCCATGATCGTCTGCTTTCCTGAATGAAGCATGTAGATACGGGCTGGGCCCGAATGGTGGAATAGTGACCTCTCTCAATCTTTTTGCTACGAGATTTGATCAGGTATGAGGTTGCTCCTATGTGATACCATGCTATTAATGCTGTGCCTGGAGGCTCTATGTGTTTTTTGTGTATAGAGTTTCAGAAAGTTCTATTTAACCTTCTAATATTTTTCTAAAGTTAGTGCATTCTCCCTATTTTGCAAAGCAGACAAACTGCAGCAGCTCTTTTAATTAAGTGAAATATATCCTTATTCTTTTCCTACAGTTCTTTGTAATGTAACATTTTGAGGCCTCGTGTACAGAACTTTAAGTCACATAACTGTTCTGTTTCTGTATTCCCTGTAAAAACTTGCACATGATTGCTCTGACTTTGAGGTAGGGAAGTCACTTTTGGAGATTGATTAAGTTTCTCTAAGCTTATTTGATAATTTTATGTTCTCTTAAGTGTTAATGCTTAATCAGCGCTGGAGTGGCAACCTTATTGAGTTAAAGAAGTGCCAAATCTCTTAGGAAATAGGTAGAGAACAGCTGCATTCATTGTATCATTTGTTTCAGCACTTCAAGAACACAGGTAAAATCAGGGCTGTTTTTGCAGGGTTTCACAGTATCTGAGTGTTTGCTATCCGTTTCCATTTCAGATTTAGAGACTTTTAGCTTTTGTTGTATCACTGTCTATTTTGATAGCTACAGTAGCTGTGCAAGCTAAAGTTGAGGCTTGCATTACAAAATGATTATTCAAGTTTCCTGTTCAGAGCCTAAAATACAAACTGTACTGCTGCTTTTTCCATCAGGTGATGAAGTTTATCGAAAAACGACAAAATGCATCCAAGTGAGTGTATTCCACCAGGTTTTGCTACTCTGGAATCTATGTGGGAAAATATGTGGCATCCATAAAAAGGATCTCTGTGTGTTTCCTAGTTGTTCTTCTGCCTTGGGGTAAATTTTATCTGGAAAAAAAGCATGGAACTAGAACAGGTTACTGGACTTTTAACAAAATATGTATTACAAAGAAATATCTACTGATTCTGGATTGGCTTTTCTCATCCTTCATCAGACTTCTACATTTTTCCTGGCTTTCCTTCTTAAACAGGCAGCACTTGGCTTTGGTTCTGGAGAGTTTGTGATAGTATGTGTGAAATTCTTGCCTTTGGCTCTAACAGAATCTTAAGAGAGTGAGTGCTTCTCACAAAAGTCACACCGGAATTTTTCAGCTATACTCATAAATCTCATCACTGTTTGGGGGATGCTTTTCTGATCTGTAACACAGTAATAATGTGATTTGCTGTTCCCTGCATGTGGTATCCTGGTCACAACAGAACTGTGCGCCTAATTTTCCCTTTTTTTCTTGTTGGTGGTGTGTTAACAGGTATGTTATCATTGACACACCAGGACAGATTGAGGTGTTCACGTGGTCGGCATCAGGAACCATCATAACTGAGGCACTGGTAGGTGTATTCTTTGTCCTTGACATTGAGGCTGTGTGAAAAATGGCCTGCCTTCTAATCAAGATGCCTTTTGCCATGTTTTCCCAGGCTTCCTCTTTTCCTTCAGTTGTTGTTTATGTGATGGACACCTCTCGCAGTACCAACCCTATCACCTTTATGTCCAACATGCTCTATGCCTGCAGGTAAGAGAAGCTGAATATGCAAACTGTCTCTTTCGAGTGCTTTGTCCCCTTCATATTATCTGATGGGGTGGGAGAGTATTTGTTTAGACTTCATCCAGGGAGCTTTTCAGTTGAGAATACGTCCAACTCATTTTTTGGGAGTGTGGCTGATAGTAAGGAGCAGGGCTTTCAGTAAAGTTAGAATGTTGTTGTGGCCATATTCAATCTGCCTTCTGACTTGAATAAGGGATTTCTGTTGTTAAAATAAATAATGGAGCAGACAAATTATTAAATATGTGAATCCCAATGTTGACTTCTTTTAATGCATTTCTTCCAGATGTTGACTGTAGTTCAGTTTTCTTCTTCTTGTCTCTGAGAAAAGATGGCTCTAACTTAAATGTCTGACGAGTAGGGGCTTCGCATATTGGATTTCTAGAATCATAGAAAGGCGTGGGTTAAAAAGGACCACAATGATCACCTAGATCCAACCCCCTGCTATGTGCAGGGTCACCAACCAGCAGACCAGGCTGCCCAGAGCCACATCCAGCCTGGCCTTGAATGCCTGCAGGGATTCAGAAGAGATCAGAAGAGATCTGGAAGTCATCTTGGAATGTTCTGCATAAGTCTTGCCTGCTTTGTGCTTAATATTTTTATCTGTTTTGATGAGTGTTAAATTAATTTTTAACAGTTCTTTGTTTTTGTTCTGTTAAAATTTCAGTATCCTGTACAAGACAAAGCTGCCTTTTATTGTTGTCATGAACAAGGTAAATGAAAGCTATGGTTTCTAAGTTCCAGTAGAGTATTTTTCTCTTTAGCTTGTTTTGTTGTAATGTCTTCATCTTATTATAGAATTGTAGAATCATAGAATGGCCTGGGTTGAAAAGGACCTCAATGATCATTGAGTTTCAACTCCCCTGCTGTGTGCAGGGTTGCCAACCACCAGACCAGGCTTTTTCTGAAAAAGAAAGGCTGGGAAGGAGCTGCAGGCTGAAAACCGAATCTAGAAAAGACCTTTAACCAGGCAAAGTATGTAGTGAGAACAAACAGGGACAGGGGGTTACACCCAAACATTTAAATGACATTAGCTGTCATGCTACCAATTTGAAAAATGTTTTGCAGGGTCTGTTAGAGGTTTGGTTTCTTGAGACTTTCTTGTTCTGAACCGTTTTTTTGAGTGAATTTTGTAAAATATGTTTTACAAATTCAGTGTTAACTAGAAGTGTATGTCACAGCGGTAGATTTTCCCTCAGGAAGTTGTCTGAGTGACTAGGTTCTCATCTTAGTCTTTAAGAGTAGAATATTTGGACCTTGGCCCAGAAATTCCCACCACTTCAATGTTCTTTTGGTAGATTTTCATCTGCACTTGTTTTAAAGTGTGCCATCCATGGCCTCCTGACAGCTTAATGCTGTGCTATAAGGAAGCATAACTTTCTAACGTAAGGGTAAGTTCATTATTGAATCTGCCTTTACAGTTCCCTGCCTTCTTAAAATAATTGTCTTAAGCATTGCTTCTGAACACTGGACTGAAGACTTATGGTAGGAATTATGTCATACCTGCCTGCACAAAATGGGTATAGTTCTAATTGGTGACTTTTAAAATGTACCAGTATCTGCCAGAAAGCAGATACTGTGCTGAGGATACACCTCTGTTGTTGTGTTAGGTATTGGTTTGTAGCCTAAAGGAGTGCTTTTAAGCTTAACAGCTTGCCAGCTCTTTAAACATAATAATTCCATGTATTAGAAGACTCTGTTGTAAGTACTGTTCCTTCTCCTCGCAGGCATTCTTTGTATTCAAGGAGTTGTTCCAACACAGCAATTTTTGTGTGTGCATACGTATCTCACATCCTTCTTTTTACAGTGTCAGTGCTGTGAGTGTGAAATACTTTGCCTCTGCTGAGCAGGATTGATATCTGATGTGCTCCAACTACATGCATCTCCATAGTGACCCTTGCAGTGCATTTCTTTAATATCTTCTTCCTTACTTAGCAAGTTTTTGTATGCTATTCTACAGACAATAGCTCTAGAATAAACTGTGGCAAAGGGCATGAGGCAGAAAAATGGTTTTCTCTCTTAAGAAAATGCTTTTTTGGCAAGACTAAAAGAGGTGGAACTTCCACAGTATGTGTGTGGAAGGGGAGCTCCAAGGTTTGAGGTTCACAACTTCATTTAGATCTGGATTCTAGCCTTCAGTAACAAGACGAGTCAGCAGCATTTGAAGAATTATTGACAAGCACTTAAAAACTGATTCCTTGTAAGAATGGAGAAATCCCAAGGATTGTGCAGTGATAAGGAGAGGGCCTTGAGGGTACTTCTTCACAGGAGTGGGCAGTGTGTGCTTGCAGCCCAGAAGACTAACCATGCCTTGGGCTCCATCAAAAGAAGCATAGCTAGCAGGTCAGAGGAGGTGATTGTCTTCACTCTGCCTTTGTGAGACCTCACCTGGGCTTCTGTATTCTAAGAAAAGGCTTTGGGGACTGTAGTGCCAGGACAAGGGTTAATGGTTTTAAACTAAGAGTAGGTTTAGATTAGATACAAGTAAGAAATTATTTCCTATGAGGGAGGTGAGGCACTGGAACAGGTTGCCCAAAGGAGTTGATGCTCTCTACCTGGCAGTGTTCAAGACAAGGTTGGATGGGGCTTTGGGCACCTCAGTGTAATTGCAAGTTTCATCTCCCCCACTCCACAGCAGGGAGGTTGGGACTAGATGATCTTTAAGGTTCCTTCCAACCCAGATCATTCTGTGACATAGATTTAAGAAATATTAGATTTGCAGAGGACAAAAAATACCAACTTCCAGAGGTGATTCAATTTTACTTTTAGAACTCAATCAAAGCATTTCTAAATTGTCAGTGTTTTGGATCCTTGGTGGGTTCAGTTCTGTCACAAGGAAATATTTCCTTTTTCAGTTTTCCTCCTTCCTACTGGTGCTGGGAAATGAAATATATCAGTTGTAGGCACTTGTGTTGTAATAGTTGAGTATTTCCATGTACTTTGATATGTTTATAAAACTCTTTAATAGTCTGTTCAATTATCAATCCATGTAAACTTATGAAACCATCTTATCTGTTTTGTGTCCATGATCTTGCTCTGAGTTTAGTTTGTAAGTTCTTTAGGTCAGAGCACAGCTGAAAGGTGCTATAGCATGTTGCCTAACATAGAAGTGTCCCACAGCCCCCAAACAATTAAAAAAGGATTCAATCTGTTCTTGTCACACCTCGTTCATAAAATGTAACATTTACAAATTAAGCTGTTTTATAAAGCAAGGTTTGGATGCCTTTCAGTAAGCCATATCATTTTTTATAGCAAGACTTCCAGTCGTTTTCTTAAACACTCCTTAAAACTGAGATAGGTGTTGTCTTCTTGTATTCAAGTAGTTGATTAAATTAAAAAAAAAAAACAGAACTTGGAAAACTGCAGACCAGGGCTGAATTGAAAACATCAGCATTATGTAAGTAAGTTTAACATGCATTTCTTTAAATTAGCCTTAGGATGTGGACAAAGAATTAATTATTTATTACTCTTGAAAACTCTGTCTTCTCCTTCCAGACAGACATAATTGATCACAGTTTTGCAGTAGAATGGATGCAGGACTTTGAGACTTTTCAGGATGCTCTGAATCAGGAGACTTCCTACGTCAGTAACCTGACTCGTTCTATGAGTTTAGTGCTGGATGAGTTTTACAGTTCACTGAAGGTAAGTTTTCTCTCTTTTTTTTTTTTCTTAATTTTATCTTTAATTGTAAATGCCTTTCACAAAAACCTGGAGAAGAGAAAGCTCAAGGAGTCTAGTTGGTGGCTGATGTCTAGCGGTGTTCCCCCTGGGTCAAGTAATCTTTAATTTATCCATCAGTGACTTGGATGAAGTGATAGGGTGCCTCCTCAGCAAGTCTGCAGTTGCTGTCAAACTGTGTGGAGTGCTCTGCTGCCTTTCAGAAGGTTCTCAACACCCAGGAGCAATTTATTCTCAGGGTCCAGCTGGAGGCCTGCAGGTAGCAGTGTTCCCTTGATCAGTGTCTTCATCGGTGACCTGGATGCAGGGATAGAGTTCACCCTCAGCAAGTTGGCTGATGATACAAAGCCAGAAGGAGAGGCTGACACTCAAGAAGGCCGTGCTGCCATTCAGTGAGATGTGGGCAGGCTGAGAGTTGGGCAGAGAGGAACCTGATGAGGTTCAACGATGGCAAGCGTAGAGTCCTACATGTGGGGTGGAATAGCCAGGTGCAGCAGTACAGGTTAGGAGCTGAGCTGCTGCAGAGGAGGGTCCTGGTGGATAACATGTTGCCTGTGAGCCAGCAGAGTGTCATTGTGGCCAAGATGGCCAGTTTCTCACTGCTATCATCTGTTAGTAGTTGGTAATAAATTACATTAATATCCCCATGCTGAGTCTGTTCTGCTTGTGGCTGTAATCTCCTTGTCATTCTCAGCCTTCGAGTCTTTTTTAATGGTTATTCTTTTCCTCAGTTCCTTTGAAATGGGAGAGAGTGGTGTGACAGAGCTTCATCGGTGTGAAACTATCACAATTGCCCCATCTTGTTCATCATGGTTAGGCACTGTATTATCTTAACTGTATTTTTTGTGGGATATTGAGTTCTGAAGTACAAGAGTGTGCTGCAGAACCAAGTTTTCCTTTTTAAACTACTATTATTTTTCTTCTGTGATCAATTTTATAGAAGAGAAAGGAACGCTCGATTCCCTGGGTTATTTAAAAGTAGAGACTGGGGGAGGAAATGGGTATCACTGGATTCCCACAGGTATTTTTTCAAAGACATTGCTTAGCCTTTCTAGCTCGCATTCTCTGTCCGTTACCTAAAAATTCACTTCAGTTACCTTTTAGTTCTAATGGATGGTTTTCTTGTACAGGTGGTTGGTGTCTCTGCTGTGTTAGGCACAGGACTGGATGATTTTTTTGTTCAGCTCTCTAAAGCTGTAGAAGAATATGAGAGGTAAGTTGGTAACATTTGATTCCTGACCCTCCGAATACTTGCTGAAATTACTGATTCACTAAACTACTCCTTTCATTTGAAGAAGTGTTCATTTTTCAAGCCAAGGTAGTAAGGTTTCTAAAAACTGAAATCTAAGAGTATAAGAAGAAGCAATCAAAAGAAGCCATGTAGTGCTGAATTTTTTTGTGCTAGTCAGTGGGGAAAAAAAGTAAAAGCCAATTGTGCTAGCAAATTCTGAAGTAGTTGTATGACCTGGTTCTGTACAGTGATCAAGCTTTGTTCTGTCCTCATAAAGAGGCAGACAGAGTAGGCAAGTGAGCTGAAATTCAAGAATTCTTTGAGAACTTGATGGATTTACTGGATTCTTCCTCATGAAATACTGCTGGACTGCTCTGTAACATTAGAAAGCAAATCTAGGAATTTGGGTTACATGGAAATAGTTAAGACAGATCTAATACTATTTTTAGAGGAGAATACATCATGCTGGATCAGACAGACTGAGAAAGGCTGCTACAGCTTTGTGCTCCCCACATCAAACTAATAGGGAGTCTGGATGTCATGTGTGGCTGGCTGTGTAGATACAAATTAGATGGATACACAGAGAGCTTTTTGTGAACTTCATAGAATGGCTTAGGTTGGAAGGGATCTTTAAGACCATCCATTTCCACCCCCATCGCCTTGGACAGGGTTGGCACCCACTAGATCAAGTTGCCACGTGGTAGATCAGGCTGCCCAGAGCCCCATCCAGTCTGGTCTTCAGTGCCTTCAAGGATGGGGCTTCTACAGCTTCTTTGAGCAACCTATGCCAGAGTCTCACTGCTCTCTGAGTAAAGAATTTCTTTCTAACATCTGATTTTTCCCTCTTTTAGTTTAGTCAGAGTGAGTGATTTGCTGGTTATGGCAGTGTAATGAGTAGTTCTATAGAGCTGGGTTGGTTCTTTTTTTTCTTCTTTTTTTCCAATTTTTATTTTTTAATGTAACCAGACTGCATGAGAAAGGTTTGGCATTTTAATGGGAGTATATTCACTTCTTTTACATCCTTTAGTTTCAGGTTAGAAGTAGCCTTAGTTTGGGATAGAAACAAGCCTTGAAAGTGATCCTTTCTGTACATAAATGATGTTTTAACTGAGAATGAATGAACTGTGTATATTTACCTTTGCAGGGAATATCGTCCTGAATATGAGCGCCTGAGGAAAACATTGGTGAGTACTTTTACCTACTGTAGCTTGGAGTGGTGTATCTTGCAGTCACTTTCATGTGTAGAACTGACTCTGTGTTGTGAGGCTGTAACGTTTCATTTAATATTAAGTGTGAAAAGGTCTGAAGCTCACAGGCTGACTTTTTCCCCTAGATTTGGTGAGGCACATCTTTACAGAAATAGGGGTGTTTTGTAGAAGAGACGTCGCTCGCTGTATTAGTGCTAAATGATTCAAGTGCATATTGCTGCACCCGTCAGATGCACAGTTTTGACTGAGATAATTCATAATGAAGACCGAATTGGGATGCCAAAATGAGTAGCTCTGCTCACATAGAGTTCTGACTGTGCAAGGAGAGTTCTTGCAGGCAAAGCTTCATTAAGTTAGATTTCCTTATGCTGCTGAAAATGTTCCTGAAGTTCATCATGCTGGAGGTTGCTTTCCATGCTTAACCAGAAGTTTTGTGTAACTTCAGCTGCAATGTAAGACCTGCTTTGTTGACTTCTGTTTTTCGGGTTGTTTTTGTTTTTGTTTCACCCCTGGGACAGAGTATTGTGGGAGATGTATTTTAAATGTTTTCAGAAGCCACTTGTAACTTTGTACCCACAGGAGAAGGCTCAAAATAAACAAAAGAGGGATCAGCTGGAGCGCCTTCGGAAGGACATGGGCCCTGTGTGTATGCAGGGCAACACACTTGCAGGTATTTTCTCAGGAATGAAGATGAAGTTTACTGCAGAAGCTCTCTGAAGAGTCTGCCTTGACAAATCACATAGAGCTTTCCTCTGCAAAAACATGAAAGTGTTCATCTTAGTGGAGTGGGACTTCAGTTCCTGTGGGGTGGGTCAGACTTACCTCTACTGTGTGTCAGTCACAAACACACAGAGAAGAAACCCTGGGGTGTAGATAAAGCAGTGGATGTACTCAGAGGAATGAAATATTTGAGAAAAGATGAAATAGTCAAATTAGAATATGAGAAAATTGTCCTGTTTGTTGAGCTGTTGCCTTGTATGAGGTTCAGTTTGGTGCTGATGCGGTCTGTCCTGAATCTTTGGATAGAAAGCTCGTGCTTACAGATTCCCTTTAGAGTAGGTATTTATAGTATGCACATAGAAATGGTCAGGGCATGAGCTAACTTACTTGTTAGTGTGATGTTTTGCCTATAACCATTTCTGTTCCTTCCAAGGGTCTGATGATGCTTCTGCAATGGGTCCCTCTGAGCTGATCTTAACACGAGGAAATCTTGATGAGGATGAAGAAGAGAGGGAGAGTGACACTGATGACATCGACCATGAAGGTAAGGGAATGAGAGATAGGATTTGATCTAAAAGCTGCTCATGTAGGCATGAAATATCCTCTGTATTTCATTAACTGTATTGACCGTAATGAGAGCTTAAGGGAAAAGCAAACATTCAGTCACCTAAATAAAGGTGTCTGAATCTGTAGCAGAAGCCCACTGCAGTGCTCAGTTCAGTGATATTACATTCCTTCACCACACTTGTGAAAGTTCAACTGCAAATTTTATACTTGAGTAAGCATTTTAAATAAAATAATGCATAAAATAAGGTGCATGCACTAGGCAACTTGTTATGCCTTTTAAGTGTGTTGTGTTCTGTTACAGAGTTTGCAGACTTTATCTTCATTCTTTCCTTGTTCAGTTAATGTTCAGGATCACTTCTTTCTTTTCCCTTGTAATGAAATGGACCTGTGGTGTTGCTCAGACTAGCATGATTCTAGTTTTCTTCAGGAACACAAATAGAACAAATGCTGAAATGGTGTTAAACTGATTATTTTTTTTTTCTTTTCCTCCCAGTTACTGAGGAGAGTCACGAAGAACCAGCTTTCAAAAACTTTATGCAAGAAACACGGATGAGATACCAGAGAAGAAGCAATGAGAATGAATGAGACACCCAGAAATAAATGGCTTGAAATTCCTTGAAATGGAATCAAAGGTGAAGGAACAGCATAAAGAAAGCTGCATGGAAACATGCATGAAGTCTGAAGTCCCTGAACAGCTTCCTCTGATATATTGTACCTTTCTGCAGTAACTGTTGGTCATATGAGAGTTTTCTATCTGACTGCACATTTGGCCATCTGCTACAAAGTCACAGAACCTGGGGAGTTGGAAGGGACCCCTGGAGATCCCCCAGTCCAAGCCCTGCTGAAGCAGGTTCCCTAGAGCAGGTTGCACAGGAAAGTGTCCAGGTGGGTTTGAACATCTCCAGAGGACACTCCACCACCTCTCTGGGCAGCCTGTTCTGGAGCTCTGCCACCCTTGCAGTAAAGAAGGTTTTTTTTTTTCTGATGTTTGTATGGAACTTCTGTTTTCTCATTTGTGCTCATCGCCCTTTTTCCTGTTGCTGGGCACCACCGATCGGAGCCCCATCCTCCTGACCGCTGCCATTCAGATACCGATCAGCACTGATCAGATGCAGCGGTGGATTTGAACGTGACCGCTCTGCCCCGCCAGTCCTCCAGGACTTGATGTCATCGGTCCTTGCATGCGTGCGGAAGTAGCGTCCTCTTGCTGAATGAAGCCTCGGAGCCAGCGGGTCCGCCAATCTCTATACTCTTCCATATGGCAACACGCATGCGCGTTGGGACGCGGAAGTGGATTAACTGCTGCAGCCACTCTGCCGCCAGTCTCGATGGTGAAAGGTCCTCCAGGCTCTACTAGGCATGCGCGCGGAAACGCGGAAGCGGCGCCTTTGCTGCAACGCGCGGGTCGCTCCCGTGTGAGCTTCAGGTTCTCCACTTGCGGATAAAAACAGTTTTACTTAAATGAGGATAAAGAATTATTTTGTGATCCCTATACCGAAATTTCCTCCTTAATCCTCTAAATATATGAAACAATTATAACAAAATTATTCCAGCCAAAACAGTTGCGTATTTTAAAAAAATATATTTTAAGCTTAAAATGTCTGAGTACTTTGTTCTTTCTATTTCAACCCTTCTTGACCTATCTGTGGGCCACTTTAAAAGAGATGCCAGTGGGGGATGTGCAGGTGCACTGAATGCATCCCCTGCAGTTGAATACAGTGCGGTGTGCTGACGTAGAGCAACCTGGAATGATGTGGATGAAACTTCTCACTTATGTATTGCAGCACTGATGTTTTGTGATGCTGAAACAGATACGAGTTTTCCTACAAGCTTGTTATTCCCCTGGCATTGTTTTTATAGCACCATTCCTTTTCAGTGGCCCTGTAGGAAGCCCAGAACGCTTCTCTCTCTCGTCTGATTTTAATTTCTTTGATAAAGATGATCCAAAGAGTGCTTTTTAGGCAGCGCTGAGCTGGTTGCTTGTAGGATCCAGGGCTTCAGTGTGGTAGAAATATGGACCACGGTACACTTTCTAGCAGGGAGAAATTGCTGTTTGCAGTTGTCACTGCACTTCATACACTCACCTGGTGCCATGATATTAGTCAAAGTAGTTGTATTTAATCCAGATGATCCTGGTGCAAAAGGGAAAAACAAATTCAAGTGCAGCAAAGCAGTATCGCATTGCTTTGGAAGGACTCCAGCACAAGTGCCAATAGATTTATTTTATTAGGCACTAAAAGCTCATTTCCTGACACTGCTGACTCAGAACAGAAAGGATTTTGCCTTGAACAATTCAGAACTGGTGGTTAAAGTAATGGATAGGTGAGAATTACTGCACAGAAATATTAGAATCGTAGGTTATTCAACAACAGTCGCTGATTTAGTAACTCTGGAGTCTCACCATTACAGCTTTATTGAGGAAAATGAATTTTAAGAAGCCCTCTATGGAAATCGATGAAGCAGAGCAGCAACTTGCTATAGGTTTCCCTTACCAAAGCAAGAAGCAGCTTGAAAGCAAAACAAATCTTGCACAAAAATTCAAATGAAGCAGCAGTGAGTGATAATATGGTTTCTTTTTGTGCTCCCTGGACTTCAGCTCTAAACTCTGTTAAACTTTCACATCCATCTAAGTTACACAGTGACTTGCTTTGACTTCACCACTCTTCAAAAACAAGTTTCAAGTGCAGAAAAACCCAGAAGCTAAAAGCCAACTCCATTTTGGCTGAAGACAGGAGAACAAACCCAAGCCTCTGGATGCAACAACTTCTTTACCTCCAGCAGCTGGAATTCACAACACAGTTGTTATTTGCAGCATTAGTGAGAACAGTTCCTGCTTGATTTTGTTGTCTGTGTGGGGAAAATTCTGCAGAATATGAGACAGACAGAGGGTGGCAGCAGCACCTCAACACTCAGCGTTGTAACACCCAGAGCCACAGGCATTGGCAACAGAGCTTCAGCGCAGGCTTACATAAAAGGGTTTAAAACCAGAGCGATATTTGACTTGTCGATTAATGCCTGATTGTATTAATTATGTTATTAATCATGCATTTAATTTACTCTTGCACTGTTTTGTCTTTCTTTGCAGCAGTGTTTTATTTACTCTCACTGTGCCTGCATCTTTGCAGATCTCTCTGAATCTGGAAAACTTTCCTTTTTACAGCAACTCAAAAAACACCGTGAAAGATCAGAGAATTATTATTTCAAAAGCCGATTCTCATATCGTTCATCTTTGAAAAACATCTTAGAATTCTACAGGGTGTCACAAAATTCTGGTAAGAGGCACTGTGTGACTTCTTAAGAGTAATCTGCTCCCTGGATTCCAGTCTCACTCACTGCTGTACCCGAACATTGGAGCCCATGAAACCACTGTTCCCTTGCAGCTGCTGGTACAGAGCAGCAATCACCAATTGTGATTTAGGTTAGCCATTGCCTTTGTGCTCCTGTGCACCTCTAGGATGGGCTTTGGATGGGCTGCAGGTCCTGTGAGGGGCCTGGGAACAGCTGGACGATGCATTAATTGGCTGCCCCCTGTACCCTCACACCATCTGGCTCTCTTTTATCTTAACAATATAAACCTAATAATATCTTTCTAGCACCTAAAACTGAAACTTTTTTTGGGGGGGGGAGGGGAATCAGTTAACACCAAACATAACTAAGGATAGCAACCTGTCGGATTGGACTGGCTTCTTGGCTTGCTATATAACACATGAGAGTAGAGAAACAAAGGCATTTGAAAAGAACTTGCAACTTTGGCTTCCAAAGTATTATTTACTAATTAGAGATTAAGGATTGCAAATTGCAAGAAATAACCTTGCTTAATGCTATTAATTAGTTGCTGCCAGTACTTAAAAGCTGAAATTTGTGTGTGCTTCTTTGTTTCTCAATGCCTGTGCTGTAGGTAGGTTTTGCAAGTTAAATTCTCTGTCTGTTCAGCTGTTGGTAAGACTTTACTTGCCAAATTTCAGTCTGCATGAGTCAATGTTGCCTTCGCAACACATTCTGGCCTGCCTGAAAATCCACTTTTTCTATGGTTATATTGCTTTTCTATAAATCTCAAAATAATTTCAGTATGATTGGCCAAAGGAATCTTTCCTGCTCTGAACAAGTGCCGACCAGCTCTGCACCCCTACAAAATAATAACATTCAAATAAGGATTGGATTACTGATGGAGATATTAGGGATATACAGGGATGGAACAGATTCCCTGTGAGCACAGGTTGAGAGCTGAGGCTGTGCTGCCTGGAGAAGAGAAGGCTCTGGGGAGACATGAGAGCGGCCTTTCAGTGCCTAAAGGGGGCTGTAAGAGGGAAGGGGACAGACTCTTCAGCAAGGTCAGTTGTGATGGAACAAGGGGAAGTGGTCTCAAACTAAAAGAGTGGAGATTTAGGTTGGATATAACGAAAAAGTTTTGACGGTAAGGGTAATGAAGCACTGGCACCACTCAGAGAAGTGGTGGTGCCCTCTGCCTGTCCATGGCAGTAATCAAGTCAGGATGGTCAGGGCTCTGAGCAATGTGGTCACTGCAGGGAGTGGGACTAGATGGCCTTTGAAGGCACCTTCCAACTCAAATTATTCTGTTATTCTATATTCCCTTATTATGCTAAAGACAGCAAAGACTCTGTGTTACTTTACTTCTCTTCATAAGATCTTGGTAGCTTTTATGCTGGAAGTTGTTTTTGGCTCAGATATGACCAAGAGCTTACAGAATAGTAAATGCTAACAGTAACATTACTACTGCTTACAGTATATCCTGCTTCTTTTCTGTTTCTCCCACACATTTTGCCTTAACTGATCTCTTTTGAGTTGATAATATGCTGAAACTCTGCCCCAATGTCTTCAGAGCTTTCTATACAATCGTATGATTGGTTTCTTCTCCTTTCAGCTGATGTTCTTTATTACTCATCAGTAATTTTCTTCACTTTAATGGCTCTCTAGGACCAACAAACTTATTCCTGCAGCTTTAAGTTGCTTTTCTACTGCCTACTCCTTGCCCAAAGGGTACCAACTACTGCAAGAAAGGTCTTTTATTTTACCTAATACTTGATATCTCCTCCCAAAACCACAGTGAAGCTTGCAAAAAGTAGACTCTTCCCCAAACCCTGAGATGCCTCTGTGAGAGTCTTCTCAAGCTGGGTAAGAGTTAGTTCATTTCAAGGATGCATTTTTTTCTAGTTCACGCTAAACTTTGCTCTAATTACAAAGAAAAATGATTGGAGGGCTGCTGTGTGTTCACAGCAGCCTGTGAGTTCTGCTCCTCTTCCTGCTGGCTAATTAATCTTACAGATATGTGTTGTTCTAATAGCTCTGATTAGCTAGTGATGATGAAGATGAAACAGCGTTCAACTTGTCTACAGTAACACATGAAGCTTTGATATGCTAATTCTACACTCAAGGTTTTCCTTTCGAGGGAGTCAGCTGGATTTTGCTTTCTCTCTGTTTCCATCCCAGGCAACAAAGCTCGTATTATTGCAGTCTGCTTCTGGCTTAAATTCTGTGTCATAGCAGGCAATTAGTAGTTATCTCGCTGCATTACATTAGTGCTTTCTCCTGGGGGGTACTGAAGAAGGCATAACCCCTGTGTTTCTGCTTAGTGTATCTACAGGCATAACTGCAGAACTATAGATACATTTCGAACCAGCAAATGTACATCCACACTTCGCCCCGTGTGACTCAGCATCACGTGCCCAGCAGCGTGCCCTACCTCGCTCCAAGCATGGGCTCCCCCAGCTCTCCTCCTCCAGCTTTGGTGCCCATCCTTTTGTGCAGTGGAACAATGTTACACGGGATGTCACCTCACTCCCTTCATTTGGCAAGCCCAGGCGCTGAGAACGAAAGACATGTAAGGTTCATTGAGAATTCATTCAGGTCAGCATCCAAGGGAGGATTGATGATCCTTCTGTAACTGCTCACAGACCTTGGTCTAACTTCTTCTTACTGACTTGTGCTGGTAGGTTTTCTACTGCCTCCCCCTCAGTGCTTTATTACTATAATTACCAGCCTGATCTTTTTCTTACTACAAGAAGAAATACATTTACCTGGTTATTATTACTTTAAACTTTTTTGCAAGAGAGAATCTAAATGCTGTTATGTCCAATGTAAGTGTTATTCTTAAATACAAAGAAGGCTGTAGGTGATGCCTGTGCAGCAAAGTCACATTGAGAACCAGGCAATATCACTGTAGTATGTCGTAAAGGGATTAAAGACTGCTTTATAAGAAATATTAGAAATTAATTTAAATGAGAAATTACCATCAGAGAGGCTCCAGAGGAATCTGTGCCTGAGCCAGTGCTGTTCTTTTACCTCAGCCAACCCTTTGGAGTGAAACGAAGCTTTGCTCACAGAATTTGCACAGCTGAAGACATAGATAATGGCACAACCACAGCAATTTAAGACACAAAGTGAGCAAGTGCTGCATGAACACGTGTTTCATCCACCTCCACAGCAAATATCTGTGCATCCAAATCACATCGTGTACTTTGGAGCTGGCAGTAAGGAAGGGAAATGCCATCTCTTTGAGAGCATTAAATCAAAGAGGGCTGAGGAAGCTGGGAGGGTGAATATGTCTCAGGGCCAGGCTGGATGTGGCTCAGGGCAGCCT